ACCAACATATCACAAATCAATATTCGTGCATGCTGTGCTATAGACGCCATCTTGGAAAATGGTGGCTGATTTTAATTTTTTGCCCATATTTCACTAACCGTTGGAAATCTTTTTCGAACAAAAGTTAAAGAACGCCTAAAAATGCATCTTTTAGTTATATACATATTTGCCCTATCTCTGACAGCTATTGAGAAAAAGTTAAAAATTATATTTTAAAAAACATTAATTTTCTTTGATTTTTGTCAGTTTTATTTTTTTTTTCAAACAAATATTCTATGGTAGTGGCCTTGTCACAAGAAAAATCACTTAACAGCAAGATTTATATGTGAATTGTATACATTAAAAATACATATAGCTATTTTAAAATAGGCCTACTAAATTGTCCTTTAAACTTTTGTTTGGACTAGATTTCTGTATTTCCCACGGTTAGTGAAATATAGGCAAAAAAGTAAAAAAGCCACCTAAAACCCTATCTGACTGGACTAATAATACAATTATTGTCTCTTTAAAAATATTTTGCTTTTTACTGGTTTAAAATACTTTTATGTAGGCTAAGTGGGTTTCACCAGATTCTTGGTGATTTTTCCGTGCACACACCTGCACGCGCAAATTGTTAAAAATAAAAACAACTTAGGTAAGTAGTTCATTTTTAGATTTTCCACTCCGTACGATGACAGGAATATGACGCTGGGGATGTTGATATTGGCGGGCTTAAGAGTATTTTGGCGCCAAGCCACCAGTGCATGCTCGGCTTCTAAAACAAGATGAGAGCTAGAGCAATAAATGCCTGAGAGCTTTACAGTATCATATGTTTGTAGATAAATCTATTTTGGTGTCTAATTTGAAAACTAAGTGGATAATATGATAGTCTTCAAGTAAGGCCTATCAAACGACTCTTTTATTTTAATGTTAGTTTTTTTTTTATTTTCAACGACAAACTCTAAGTACCTAGGACAGATATATTATTGTGCGATTGGGCCTGATAAAAACTGGGGTTTATCAAGCAGGCTCTTCTCCTTAAATCGGGATTATCAAAAAGAGTCCCTACCACTTGGTGTTCTTGGTGTAGGTGTCAGCTCATCAGGTGACACCAAGAAGTAGAACGACGATATTGTTTGTGCATCTGAATCTACTGGCAAAGAAAAATAACCACATGAACAAAACAATTGTTGCATACAGATAACCGAATGAATCTTTCACAACAAATGAATTTATTTCAGAAATATCTACATTACATAATATATTTGTATACTAAAAATACATTGAAATTAGGTCTCTGCAAAGAGAAGTTTCTGTCCAGGGACCGAGTGACAACAATAAAAGAATGTTGCACATTTAGGACTGAAGACTTTATAACACTTAAACATTACACTAAACCACTCCACCATTTCACAACTAATGTTATATCGTAAGCCAATTTAATTATGCATAAAAAGAGGGAGTTAAGCCCGAAACACTTAATGAAAAAACAAACGTATGTAATATAGGCATACTAATTTGTAAGTTATTTCAAACCAAAATTGGTTACTACACGCCTAATACAAAGAAGGTTTACAAATATGTAATGGCATTACAAATAACAATAAGGTAAATTCTGTCTATATTATGTCTAAATTTTGTCTGACCTTTGTTCGGTTACACAATACGAAAACAATTTTTTTTAGTTTAAATAACAACTATTATAATGAATGTGAGTATATGGTGAAAACTCTACTAGAAAAATATTAACTCTGTAAAAAATAATATGGTCACTTTATTATAATGATTATATGTTACTATTAGTATACAAATCAAAAACATACTTTGTTAACTATGTTTTTGATTTGTATTATATAAGTAGCCCTAAACATGCAAGAAAATAATACTATTATATATATTACGAGAACATTTTCAGTTTGAAACTGCTCTGTTGATAATATAGTTCGTCTTTTGTGATTGTTTCATGTCCACTCCAGACAAAACAAGCAACTCACCAAACAGTTTAGTTGTTTGACTTCCTTTGTTTATTAATTCATGCATCATCCAAGATTTCTGCATGCGGTTAACGTGAAGATAGTAAACATTCTACATTTTATGTTTTTACCACAGCAGTCTTTGTTTATGAATAGTAAAACTTAGGAATATATAAAATTTAACGAACAAAGTTACACTTTAAATATTTTGTCTGCCTCATGGACTTTCCAATAATATTAATTAATAAGATTGGAAATATATTATGCATTTCCGGCAAATTAGAATGAAAAGTAACTAAATGGATAATTGAATTGACAAAGTAAATCCTTGTGTCAGTGCCCTTAAACACATTTGTTAAAAAAATAATAAGTATTTTGTTCAATATTAATTATTTTATTGTTTAGTTTACACAATGTAAAAAATTCCAAAATCCTACTTACTTAAAAAAAATATTATTTTCATTTATATAGTTATTTCATCTATCGATAAAATCATTGTGCATGCCAACTGTGTGTGTTGGACAGTTTTCCAAAGTTTGACGAGGGTAGGGTAATCTATTGGCTGTCGTAGACTTGGCAGCTATATACAGGTATAAGTTGCACCGGCATTGGTTTTGGGTATGTGGATACGCTCAAACGTATGAGATGTTATTTTCGATGTTTTCAAGTTGCGTTTACAGCGTTTTGCTGTCTTGAACATCATTGTCAACTGCGAATAAAAAAATATTAAAATTGGCCACTTTTTAGGTTGATAAGTGACCAACTTTCAACAACACTTACCAACATTGAGTTATATAGACCAAGGAACTTATAAGCTATATTAGTTAGGTATCACAAGGTGAAATTGCTGATCAATAAAAAAGTATGACTCGACCCCTAATCTTAAACTTAACAAAAAACTACGTAATTGTTTAATAAATGACCTGGATCAACCATTCACAACTTTGAAACATATAACTATATAAAATCAGAATACATTCTTTTTTTTATTTGATTCAAACTTGCATTTGTGTTAATATGGTTACGGTGAGAAGTAGTTTTAGTTCAAATTAATAAATACTTATGAATACAAAATATAACAAATATTTAAAAAAATATTCAGACTTTATAAGTACAATACCCCCGCCGCAGCAAACCTGCAGACTAAGCGAATTTCCATTAACCTGATTGGATTTACACTAAAATGCCTTCATAAAAATAGTACATTTATTTCCTATTTAAATATAATTAGTTTAACGAGTACTTAGGTTTGCTGCAATAGGGAGGGTAAAAAAGATGTTTTATAAAATAATAATAGTTTAGTAAGAAATAAAAGTATTTTCCAAAATCAATCAAAATATGTTCATAAACAAGCAAACTACAACAGTTGACTTATTCTCCATAAGAATAACATGGGAATTTTAAAATTACAATTTTTTGAATTTTCTCCGTAACAATTAGGCGCATAATAACGCTTCAATATGCTAAATTATTTGTTTTTTTAAGCTCTACAAAATGGTTTAAAAAGAAATTGTGAAATTTTGTGTTTTTAGGGTCAAAAATGGGAAAAACCTATTTTTACCCCATAAAACCCCCCATAAACCCCCGTTCCCATAGTCCGATCATGCTGGTTCGCGAACTCATTCAAGTTTATCCCACCTTACACCTTCAAACCAAATTTTAACAAAATCGGACAAAAATTACTCAAGTTATCGTGCGAATGGACACATATATATATATATATCTATATATAGATATATAAAAATTTGAACGAATGGTGTTTTTGGCTATGAGGACATCAAAATGAAAAAGTAAATCGGTCCCGGGCTTAGGTCTTACCATGAGACCTACGGTAATAGCTACTTCCCTATAGGGAAATTCGCTAAAAACACCGTTGTATAAGAACCCACTCCAGAGTAGGCCTAAATTTCCGTCAGGTTGTGTCGTGATTTAATGAAATCGTAATAAAATATTCTTGCCAAGTGTTTTAATTAATCGTTTCCTTTTTAAGTATGAGTTTGAAATTAAAACTACCTACTTGTGAAACTATGCTATTGAATGATCTTTTGTAAACTATCTACTGTTCCCATAGTCCGATCATGCTGGTTCGCGAACTCGTCAGAATAAACGTAGGTTTACACTTTTGTACCAAATTTAATCAAAATCGGATCATTTTTGCTAGAGTTATCGTGCTAACGGACACATATATAAATACATACATATATAAATACATACATATATATATATATATATATATATATATATATGAATTTGAACGGATGGTGTTTTTAATCTCTAGGGACCTCAAAACGAAAAAGTAAATCGGTCCCGGGCCCAGATATTACCACGATTACTACGGTAATAGCTTATTCCCTATATGGAAAATTCGCTAAAAGACCTGGCCTTCAAAATTTCCCTTACGAAAACTTTATAAACTGACAAAATTATAGAGACCATTGAAATAAAAAAACTGTTTTCGACCTTTTAATGCCTGGAAAAGGTTTCATGAATGTGAATCGAAACTAGTTTCCACCAAAACCAAACTGTACTATCGATATACGTGTGTTTAAACCATCTTATGGTATAAACGAATCTGGGCTTGCAGATACTATTAAGATCATTTATTAAGATTAATTAGTACTTTCAGTACTTAAATGATCCTAGCACTGTCTGAAAGCCTTAGTAATTTCCACAGTTCTCTCAATTGTAGCATCTTCCATCGATAATCTTATGAATATAATTATGTTTAAGTTGATTTGTTTAACAGATTGATATTTGTGCCCTCGATAGAGGTAAAGCCCATTTTACCAATGATGATACCATTTTACATACTTGATTTTACTAAGAGCTACCAAAATGTTATCCACTGTAACCTGAATAAATTTAACACAATACAATCATGGGAGTTGGATATTATTTGGTAGATCTGCACTATCAAATTTGCATAGGAAGTCAATCATAGCCATTGCCACTGAGACCCCTGGCCTTTATTATCAGTGCGCGCGCGCCGGTGAGTGGGCGTGCGGGTGCAGACACATTCATATCAGTTTGGTCCGGTGCGCTGACGTACGCGCGTCAACGCTGGACTCGTATGCGATCGTAACTCTTTACGTTATAGTAGAACTTACGAACCTAAATGTGTATAGATTGGGTGTTGTGGTTTCTAAATAAACTTGTACTCATGAGTGGGTTTTGAACCTGATTTTCTGGACATTGAATCCTGATTAACAGGTTAGTAAGTTGTGGTTGTAATTGATATTTGTTTTATGTGTAAAATATGTTAAGTTTGTGTTTTGTTTGCGAAAAAAAGCTGTTAAGGTATTAGTTAGGTAATTCTATGTCTTCTGAAGTTCATAGATATAATTGTAAGATTTTAATCCAAAGTTAGATATGTGAAACATCAAGAGTTAATTTGAATTTAGATTCAAAATAAACATACAAAAATTAAATTTACTTTTAGAATGTTTTTGTGGCTCAAAAAAATACAAATATAGGACATAGTACGACAGATCCTTTTTTGTCCTAGGACATTAGGCACGAGCCCGGAATTGTTTTTCACATTACTTCTAGTTAGAGCTAGGGGTTGCGGTATTATCACTTAAACATTGGTGATTTGGCTGGATTTGAACCCGAGACCTCAAGGACTGATGTTCCGCGCTCTAAACACTAGACCAGTTTACTCTCCTCGACGACAGATCATTAGAATTATTACCAATTAACTTGAGTTTTCCCAGGTTACCATACCTCTACAATTTATCAGCCTTTTTTGCAGCATAAAAAGTACATAATTTACGTACTCATTTATGTATGGCACAAAATTAAAATCATCGTATAGCGGTAACAAATAAATATATTCAAATACGCTAGTAGGAATGATAACTAATAATGTATTCAAATTGGTTTCCCTATTACTACTATAAACTCGGATCGCTACAATAGTTGTTTTAATCTAACTCATACTATATTCAAATTACGTGAGCCCATTTCAAATACTGTTTTGTTATAAAATACAATTGAAACTGTTGTATGAGTGAAATAATGGACATATTTATTCTTTATTTTGTGGATGTCAAGATGTGTCCAATAATTTCCAACCCCCAATACGAACAGGTGAAAATAATATAAAATAAAACGGACAAGTCTATATTTAAATGAAATTAAGAAGTTGCATCATTTAGTTGAATTGAAGTGGGAGTATATACATTTAATTTCTAAATAATTCTTTGCTATAATAGTTCGATAAAATGTATATAGTACTGATCAGGAGATTTTAGATTAATAAAAAGCCTTTATATTGCAATATTTTATTCAAGCAGATAGGAACAGCAAAAACACAGGCGTACGCTGAAAGCAGTGTAAATCTGTACATTAGTACTATAATACTGTACATTAGTTGCTGTCAGTTTTTGGTATGGATGAAAATATCTGTATCATTTATGTTAGAAATACGTTGTATTAGTGTACCACTTACTAATACGTTTGAAAATAAATTAATTGTGTATTAATTTAAGAAAGGTTAGATTGTATGTTCTAATGGATGGAATATTTAAAGTATGAATTAAGATAAACTTAAACATTATTAATTGACTATGAGTGTCTAATATAGGAATAAATATAATAAATTGAAGGATATTATAAATTTATTTCAACCATAGTTGTTTTACTATACTAGATTTGACAGGTTTACCAAAAGTATACTGCATTTTAAAATTCCATAATTTTAAAATAAATATTTATAGTAAACTAAAGGAGCCTTGCTGCTCCCCAGCGTTGCAATAAATATCATACTTTTAAACTATCAATGTTTCAAATTAAAGCCTTTATTTCTATGAGTATTTTAAGATCAAGACGTATAAAATAACTAAAATAAAAATGGAGTTACGTATCATTTATTGGTGATAAGCCTTAAAATAATCATAATTTTTGTTGATTCCTGATTTACAGCGTGCTTCAGGTACGTCCGATCTTGATAATCAATAGCCCAAATGGAAGCTGTTAATTCACTGAACACACCAAAACATATAATATTTTGTAATTAGAACTGGTGAAATACATCTTTAATTGAAGTAAGAATTCGAACAAATATAGTTTAATTTTTGTGGTCGAGTAATATAGTAGATAAATTAATGGTAATGCTTGAACTGTACGTGCTTACATTTAATTCAAGACCAATATTATGAAAACTGGTATAAGAGCGAAACGAAATCTGAAAAGAAAAACTAATATTTTTAAATATATAGATTGCACTTATGTTCGTTTTTTCCGAAACAGTATTATTTAAGATAAATCAGTGAATAATTCTCTATAACAGTAAACCTTAATGTCAAATGCACCATCAAAGAGGACACTTAAGAAACCACTAAACTGGTGAGTTAAGATTTTATGGTATCAACCTTATCAAAGGCCTTTGCACACAACGTTGTGAAACCCGTCTTTTCTGAACATGAAAGGTAAAGATTCTGTCCAGTGGAAGATTAAATAATAAAACTTCTTTGTAGACATCAAGAGATTCAGTCATAAAAAGTTGCAAAGAAGTTGTTTATACTGTCTAGTGTATAATAATTAATTAAAATATTTATAATGTATAATGTTTAGTGATAATCTTGTTTCTTTGTAAGCAACGTAAGAATCAGTGTAAGCTGTAATTGGTTACTCAATCAAATAATTAGTTTGGTCATATTGTTAGTTTTATTATATTTATTATACATGAATACTATTATTAAGTATTTCAAAATAAAATATCAGAAATCCTCGTCGAAAATAATTAATTTTGATAAATTGTTTAAATGTATATAATTATCTACAAAGATCAAGATACTAAATACAAATATTGTTAACTATAGTTTTTAAAAACGATAGAGTTACTTAATCGAAAATTGATTAAAATGCAAAAGGTTTATACTACGATTTTTAATTAATAGAAAATTCTTTTGGCAATATTATGAAGAAACATAATTAAGAGAAATGTTAGCTTTATTTTAAAACATTGCTTTGAAGTTATATTGCTTTTAATCTACATATTTAATTGAACTTAACCCATTATTCGAATAAAAGGGTATTCTTGAGACTCTTTTAAAATTCAGGCCAAGCGATATCTAAGATAACGGTTGGGTTAAACGTGATTTGGTTTTCCTCCTCAAAGAGGAGATTTTCTCTCAGCTCGCTGGACGTTACGAATTCAGTTGATTGTTTGCTTAGATTTTCACAGTAAGTGACCTCTTTCCTCTTCTTTTGTTTTGTAGCGCTCTGCAACACTCTTCTCTAACTATGCGATAAATAATAAATTTGACTTTATAAAAATAAAATTATCCAACCGTTGAACAGTGAGAGGGAAATGCAGCTAAAATCATTATGGAAAAAATAGATTTATCAACATGGTATTTTCAGAGGAAAAGTAACTATAGTTTCAAAGCGTACTTACTAGGATGCAACATCAATGAAACACGGTCACTAAATCTTGGCAAGCTAAAATAGTTTCTAGTTGACGTATTTATCATGAAAAAAAAACTTGTTTAAAAGATCGACTTGTACGAATAATGTGTGAGTAAATCTGCTATAGAAGTCACCCTTGATGGCATGAGATTGTCTGTTTGCGACACTGTCAACACACTTGGTGTTGTACTTGACAAAGACCTCTCTTTTTCTGACCATGTCACATCTGCAGTTCAACGCGCAGTGGGTAGACTGAGAGGTCTTAGCAGATTTAAAACTCTACTGCCAGAATATGCCAAAATGCAACTCATGCGGTCCTTGGTCCTCCCAGCCTTTACATATTGCTTTCCTGCATATGGAAACAGCATCTCTAAGGAGGATATGGCAAGAGTTCAAAGAATTCAAAATTCTGCAATAAGGTTCATTTTTGGCCTTAACCGCTTTGACCACGTGTCCTCCTTCCGAGATGCTGCAAAGCTCATCCCAATGGATGAAATATGGAGGAGGCTGACCTGCTGCCTGGTCCACAAAGTGCTCACGCTGGGAGAGCCTCAGTACCTCAGCGAGAGGCTTAAGTACAGGGGGGAGATCTGCCTGCGTGGTACTCGTTCCGACCGCAGGCTTCACTTTCCTAAAGTGAGGCTTGAGGTTGGAAGAAAGTCATTTTCTTATTTTGGCCCGCAGTTGTATAATGGCCTCCCTCAGGACATAAAGAGCTCCAAATCGTATGGCTCATTCAGGGCCGCAATGCAGAAAAACAAATGCAAATTGTAAATGTTTTTTCTTTGTAGTTTTTTTTGTATATTAAATTTATGTATATATTAGGTTAGTTTAGTTTTAGTTTGACTTGAGTAAGTTTGAAAATCATGTATATGAAACTCGCTTGTAAATAAAGGCCTTTTTATTTATTTATTATTTATTTATTTATTTATCGTTTAGAAAATCTTATATTACATGAGCTTAAATTACCTTAAATTATATGACACTTATCCGTCCGTGATTATTAGTTTCAAACAATTATTCAAACACTTTCAATACAATTAATTTGTATTGTATATCCTGTACGTTTTAGTCTTGTATGTCACCTTATATCTTACAGCTGTTTAAGTAAATAACACTTAAATGTTCAACCAAACTAGATAAACGGTTTGGACTTAGGTTCAGTCAAAAAATTAAGACTTATTGATTAACTTAACCTAACTTAAGATTTATTGATTAACTTCTTAAACGAGTTTCCTCTATAGACCAGAATATTTAATTTCAAAGTGGATTGTGCAACAAAACGGAGAACACTATCTAGTTACTAACCAGCTTTGAAAATTTTCATTATCCTGAAAGGATTTCTAGGAGCTTTTCAACCAATATAAATATCACACCAACCTCAATATGAGATTAAGTTTGGTGAGATCCTTGATTACATTTTCAAGTAATTAAACTATAGTCAATTTATTATAATTTCACTAAAATAATCTGTGACATACTTATAACTTCTAAAGCGTAGTTTAGCTAAAACATAATAATGCAATTTGGGGTAATTTGACCCGTTGACTCACTAATTTGAATTTTGAATTGCGTAACCGAATAAAAAAAAAAAATATAACTCGGTTGTTTGTCATCCAATTTTAACAATGACTCATTTGATTTAGATTTAGATGCTCTATCTTTTTTTTTAAGAAAAAAATTCCTTATATTTACGATGTTCATGAAATTTGGCATTAAATATTTTAAATGGATGCCATATTGAAATGTCATGAGATGTTAGAACGAAACTTTTTAAGCTCTTCTCTTCTTAACTTACA